CCTATGTTGTCTTCTAGGAGTTTTACAGTTTCGGGTCTTATATTTAAGTCTTTAATCCATTTTGACTTGATTTCTGTATGTGGTGTGGGATAAGGACCCAATTTCATTCTTCTGCATGTGGATATGCAGTTGTCCCATCATCATTTAGTAAAGACACTAATCATTTCTCCCTGGTGTGTTCTTGGCAGGTTTATCAAATATCAGTACACCATACGTGTGGGGATTTATTTCTGGGCTCTCTAATCTGTTTCGGTTGTCTCTATGTCTACTTTTATGCCATCATAGTACAGTTTTAATTACTGTAGCTTTGTAATATATCTTGGGATCAGGCAACATGAGACTTCCAGCTTTGTTCTTCTTGCTCAAGATGGTTTTCGCTCTTTGGAGTCTTGTGGTTCCATACGAATTTTAGGACTGCTTTTTCTTTCTCTTTAAAGAATGTCATTGGGGTTTTGATAGGGGTCACATTGATCTATAGATCACTTTGGGTAGTATGGACATTTTAACACTATTAATCCTTTCAGTCCATTAACACAGGGTGTCTTTCCCTTTATTTGTGTCTTTTTTTCATTTTCCTCATCAATGTCTTGTAACATTGAACTTACAAGCCTTCCACCTCCTTGGTTAAGTGTATTCCTAGGTACTTTACTCTTTTTGTTGCCATTGTAAATGAGATTTTTTTTCCTTAACTTCTGTTTCAGCTATGTCATTGTTACTGTGTGGAAATGCCACTGATTTGTGTATGTTGATTTTGTATCCTGTAACTTTACTAAGTGTATTAGTTTCAATATATTTTTTTTGTTTAGTCTTAGGGTTTTCTACGTATATGATCATATCATCTGCAAACAGAGATCATCTTACTTCTTTCTTTCCGATTTGAATAACTTTATTTCTTTTTCTTGTCTAATTGCTCTGGCTAGGACTTCAGGTACTATGTTAAATAGGAGTGGTGAGAGTGGGCATCCTTGTCTTGTACAGGATCTTAGAGGAAACACTTTCAGTTTTTCTCCATTGAGTATGACATTAGCTGTGGGATTTTCATATTTGGCCTTCATTGTGCTGAAGTAAATCCTTTATATTCCTATTTTGTTGAGAGTTTTTATCCTGAATTGATGTTGAATTTTGTCAAACACTTTTTCTGCATCTATTGAGATGATTATGTGGTTTATCTCTTTCACTCTGTTAATGTGGTGCATCGCGTTGATTGATTTGCATATGTTGAATCATTCTTACATCCAAGGGATAAATTTGACTTTTGACGTGCTGTTGGATATGGTTTGCTAACATTTTGTTGGGGATTTTTACATCTATGCTTATTAGGGATATTGGCCTGTAATTTTCTTTTCTTGCGTCTTTGTCTGGCTTTGGTATCTTCTGTTTTTGAGAAGAGTTTGAGAAGAATTGGTATTGATTCTTCTTTGAACCATGAAGCCATCCGGTCCATCCCTCTTTAAACTCCATGTACAAATTATTTTGTTTCTGTCTCTTCCCAGGTGGGGAGGGCACAGCTGCCCAGAACTTCTCCTGTCTTATATACAATGCGGATTTCATGAACTGCACCTGGGCCAAGGGCCAAGCAGCGCCCAATGACGTTCAATATTTTTTGTATATAAGAGACTCAAAGTAAGTGTTGACCTCATGTAGACAACCCTGAGAAAT